GTTATGTTAAGCTTATATTAAAGTTTTCTTCATTACCCATTCAAGCCGTCTCCAAGCATTATTAGTCATGAAATTTAAGTAGCTTGAGGCTCGTAGCAGTCTACATCTGTTTATGTTTAATTTTATTGTTTTATTTCTCTTTGAACCACGTCTAACTAATAATCCCACCAAACAAGTAGTAAATCACTCAGTGAACACATAGGTCATGTAACATGTTTAATGACATGATGCATGAGCTGCTTGAAGAGCATGCCCCATGAGGAAATTTATATTTTTATTATTTGTTTTCATTATCTTGCCTAATCTAACTTAATAGGTTTCTAATTTTTATATTTTAGTTACTTTTATAATAAAGACTAAAAAATATATATGAAAAATAAAAAATATAGTACATAAGTTTAATCTCATTTTTCTTACTGTCAGTTGCTGATGAAATTTACGCCCATTTTTTATAACTTTTAGTACTAGTACAATAATAATACGCACAGCATACAATATCCTATAACTATTATAATTTAACTGGCTCTCTAACTAAGACAAAATGGGCTTAAAATTATTCTCTTAGCTGTTTTATCTGAACACTGAGAATGCAATACAACTATCATAAATAATAAATGCTAACAAGTAAAACTCATTAAAAGCTCCAAAGGATCCTTGGTGGCTTTTCTCTAAGAGAGTAACTCAATACTGCCATACAACCACATTCTTAAATGCAAACTAAAACAAAAGCCAATAATTTTAATTTTCTAAACCAAAAACTGAAAAGCATGTTAACTCTCTTGCGATGAGGTTGGTCAAATCGACCTACCTTGTAACCATTTTGTACTCGTTATAATTTCCATGCTCTAACTTTTAATACAGTATATGTACCTTCACAGAATTTGGCAGACTTTTAGTAAACATTAGAAGTCTTTTGTATCCAAAAAATCAGATTCTTTAATGAAGTATTTTTACTAGTCCAAGTGCAAAGTGATTTCCATGTAAAGATTAACAATACTTTTCTTCATCTCAAAATCTCAAATTTAATTTGTATGATCTCTAAAACCTCATTAATAAATTTCAAACATTTATTTTGTAGTAAAACTTTATACTTTATCTGTTATTATCTCTACCCTAATTTTATATAAGGTTAGTAAATTTGATCAAACTCGTAAACATGAAGAAAAAAGTGAAATAAACCTAAATTACCCTTTTTTTCTTTCTGGAATTATTTCTAATTGCAACATGAAACTACATTTATCTTAAATAGCTTTAAACTTGTAACAGTATAAATCTATTTATGCTTAAATGTTATTATTTTATTGTCCTTTGAACCACATCTAACTACTATTGGTGCCATTTAAAGTTGTAAATCACTTGGAAAATGTGCAGCTCACATTATGCTGTCAAATTACATTATGCACAATCTATTTGCGAACATACCTCATAAACATTTTTTATTATATTATTATTATTATGTATTTCTCCTAACCTACAAAATTTGCTATTTTTACATTTTAGTTACTTTTATAATAATAAATAAAGAATACACATGAAAAACAAGAAATAAAGTATTTACCTGGGTCTTTTTTTGGAGGGAGGCTATCGACTGTCAATGACACTTAACCCTATTTTTTTTTTTTAGTATTAATGGTACTACTACATAAAGTAATTTTTTATTTAATTAAGTAATATGCAAAAAAACACAGAATAATAACATACAAAAAGCAGACAATGTCCCATAACTACCACAATTTTTCTGGCTCTCTAACTATAAGAGCTGTTACAAATTCAGCTAAGCTCATCAATGTGTTTTCTATGGGAATAAAGTTTGAATTGAAAGCATAATTGACAATTCTCTGTAGAGAAAACAACATAATATACTACATTATATGATTTATGAAAACCTTGGCTTTCTATTGATTATAAATAATATAGTATTGAATGTCAGAGAGACGTAGCAACTTCTGAAAGAAAGGATGTGACAAGTGGGCATAGCAAGATGGATCTGATTGTCTATTTTATGGTTCTGTAATCAGATTAGATTGAAGGCTATGAAAATTAAGCTTTGACTGAGTGATGATGATATTATAATGAGTAATTTACATTAAATTTCGTACTTCTTGGAGGGTTGGTAAATAAATTAGAGTTCTAGATTTTTTTTTTTTTATATCGCCTTATAAAAGTCAGAACTTCAAACTTATATACTGTTAAAATATGGATTATTAGCTATGTTTTATGTTATATATATATTGGTATACCATAAAAAAAACTACTTTCATTAAATTTTGAATGTAACTCCTTAAAACCTTGTGACATGCTCAGAAAAAGATGCCCATAGAGAGAGAGTTAGCCTTAGTATTAAAATTAAAATGTGTTAGAAATGAAAACACTAAATGAGCTTAGTAATATATGTATTAAAGTTGGATTCCAAACACTAAAGCTATCTGAGCATTTTTTTTGGTAGGTAGTATTTCTTAAAAAAGTAGATTCTATGACAAAAATCATTTAAGAAATTTGAAAAATATTTTTTTCAATAAATCACCTCTTATTTTCAAGAATATCCAATGTAAATTTCAAATCATGTAGCGGAATATCAAGAACAGTCAGATCATCTCCCTGTAGACTTTGGTCAGATGACTCACCCTAGAACAGAGACATTATTTACAGTACCGAAGTTTTAAACACTGAAAATTTACACCTTTAAAATGAACATAAGAAATTAAATGTTTACATACTTTACAGAAACTACAAGAATTCAGCATCTACTTCATGTATATATTTAAAAAAGTTGCACAATGCTACCCATTTATGTTGACGCTGTTGGCCCCATCTAACGTTTATCAGCATGACAGGTTGTTGACATTGCCATTTCAAGATGACAGTGAGTCACATGGAACAAAATACATTATCCCCCCCCATCTTCAAGGATTCCCCATACTAACACTGCAAAACATGCATTATTTAACTGACACTACTTTTGATACACCCACAATTTCATATATTTTGTTCATTAACTTGAGAATTCTTATTTATGTACTGTTCCTCATAAAAAAATTACATTGTAGTATTGTTTGTTTGTAATTAAGCACAAAGCTACACAATGGGATATCTGTGCTCTGCCCACCACGGGTATCGAAACCTGGATTCTAGTGTTGTAAGTCCGCAGACATACCGCTGTGCCACTGGGGGGCTACATTGTAGTAATTGGACATCAACACAACATGCTGAGCAATAATAAGCAGACTTTTTGACTAATTAATTCAAGTGATATCAGCTCTAATTCAGAAATGCAATCAGTGCATCCTTTCATATCTGTTATTCCAGTGTGTGTGTGTGTTTTCAAGTTTTCCAATAGACTAATTTAAAAAAAAAAATTAACCCTGGATTACAACAATTTATTTCTTTGTTAAGGTTTTCATGCTCATAATTGTTTTATTTTCAAAGCAGAATGCATATTTACAAGCAAGTTGAATTATAAAACACGTTTTGTTTTGTTTTATAAAAATTGCACGTATGCAGATAAAATGAAGTTTTACTCAAATTCAGCATTATAAAGCTATCAATATAAAAAAAAATTATATAAAGAACTCGGAGAAAATTTCTAAGCCATAAATACTAAAAGCCACGAAAAACATATAAAACTGACAAAGAATTAAGAAAACTAATCAGCCCCATACATGCCTACTCCAAAGTCAAATTTTGTGAAGATACTTTTACAACATTACAAGTTGTAGTTTGCCAATTCTAGTGATTAAAAAATTTGGTCATTTTTGACTGGTTCCTTATTTACAGGGTAATACAATATTTGTACAACAATAAAGCACTTGGTTCACATTGTTACTGTTTTAAAACTGCCTTTGAAAGCACTTTTATGTGTGTTGTTGAAGTAAAGAAAACAATGAATGTTGATGTGTCAAGACCAGAATTTTCTGTAAATGTGAACCATTAGTCATCTAAGTCAACATCAAGACAGCAAAGCACTTTTTGCTAAAGTAAAGAGAATTAAAGAACAGGGTTGACTTAATGTGTAGCATTGCACACTGAAGTATACACAAAAAAGAAATTACATACAAATACTTTAATATCTCTATACAGCTCAAATATTACCTTTGAGAGTAATGAGTTTTCTGAATTTTAATACACCTCATTGATAATAACAACAATAAAAAACATATTTTAGAGGCATAATAAAGCTTACAATGTGATAAACAACTATAACAGGGATTACGAGAATTCTGTTGGGTATTTTTCAAGCAATTACGTGCACAAGACATTAAAGATTTATCAGGTAGTCATACAACTTGCTGACAACAAAAGCCAGAAATAACAAAAACAGTTTTCAACGAATACTTCTATTTAACTTATTTTGATTTACAACTAGAATTGACAGCTATATATGGAACTTCTGTTAATAGATAATAAATGGAAACAGGAAAAAACTTTTGCTATAAATTTACACTTAATGGCTGTTACTATAACAACTGTGGTCACTAGTTTGTTCTAGTATATATCAAATTAACAAATATTAATTTAGCATTCTAATATTTACAACTTTAACAATTAAAATCTAGTTGAATAATAAGCATCTTATTCTTTGTAGTTGTAGGGAAAGAACCAAAGAGAGAAATAAAATTTTTAATATCTATTTATACTTCCATCATAATACCAAAAAAAAGTTTTTCACTTACATAATATTACACTTCGTTGATGAAGTTGTTACGATAGACATAAAGTATTGCTCTAAGAAATTTTACAAGCAGTGAATGGTATGACATTCATTTTCATATGTTTTAAAGAATAAAAAACATTATTAGACTATTGCAATTCTTACTAAATAACACATACCATCCAATAAGGGTCTTTGGGGTCAAATTCATTGAGCAATTTCTTGATTTTGGGTATAAGAGATGTAGATGGATGTCGAAGAGACTCCAGTATCAGACAAACACTGAGAAATATTTTTTAAACTGTTTAACTGGAATAGGATCCACACATGAAAAATACTAAAACCATAAAAAGCATAAACTGATAAAGCTTTAGCATTATAATTGTGCTGATCTAAAGATAATCGTATGTAAATTAATTTTGATACACATACATTGCTATTTAAAAGTTAAATCTTCTTACAAACATTCAACAAAACAAAAAGGTTGTAAATGATCCTTCATTTACATATTAGCCCTTTTTTTAATGCTCAAACTTTGATAAAAAATACATACATACCATACCACTTGGAAAGTAAATGAATATGAAAAAGAAACTAAACTTGGATTCACTGTGCAATAACACTATAAATTTCCTTTCTACAAGTAATCTAAGTGTAAAATATCATTAGGTGATCATGCAGCTGGCAAATATGGAACTGGAGACTAATTCTGCAATCTAAGTATTTGTCTTTATATACGTTAGAGTGATGAGTGGTAGTGAAAACTGTTAATGTGATATTATTATCACATGAAAACTGTTTATGTGATATTATTATCACATGATTATGACAATTACTTTACTTATCTCAATAATTTAGAATTTAAGCAAAAAACATGGACAATTGGTAACTTGGGAAGAAAACTGGAATTCTGAATCTTCAAAAGAAATTATATATGTAACCCTTAGGGTTCAAGTTTGACAGCAAGCCAACATCATCTTCATACTTATGAACATTATTTTTGATCATAGTATTACTAAAATAACAAAAAAAAAAAAAAAAAAAAAAAGACTGAAGTTTTTTTTTACATACTGATACTGTACAAGCAAAAGACACAAGGTTAGCAAAAATAAATGGTACTTGTTTACCCACACAAGTTGGGTATCAGTACCACATGACAATCTTGCTGAACTATGAACGTAGCTACTAGTTACTCCTGTTGACAAGTGATTAAAAGTAAGCATACATGATCAGCAAACTGAAATATGCTGAAAACAAGAAGCTTTCCAGACTGAGTCTTGGTTCCTTCAATCTGGAAATGCCAAAACTGCATTCACAATTCATCTTCTCTCTATAGCTGACCAATAAGGAAAATTAATCACATGAATAAGGAAGTATCTCTTTATCAAGTGACAGTTCCAGAGCAATCCCACACAAAAAAAGTCAATTAGAATACAACACAACTATCCAACAAAACAGGAGATAGCTTCCATAATTAAACCCTACCACACAAACAACATATGACCATGGCCAAATTTATTATGTTCCAAATTATAACTTAATTATTATTTCTAATTCTAGATATGAACTATATATATATATGTGTAGCGTGAGAGATTATTTATACATATTGTCTGCCATGAAAACTCAAAACTTTCATAATGCACTTTATAAAGTCTTGATTCATGAAATGCAGTTATATCATTTTAAAGCTACAAATAACTATGTTATGGGGAAGTTAATAAATGACCAACAAAAATTATATACAAATTAATAAACTAGAACAATGCATACATTTCATCAGTATCTATCTGAACATATTATTTATTCATAAGTGTATACAGTGAAATGTTTGAAAAATTAGTTCGGGTATATATAGTAAAATGTTTGAAGAATTAGTATACAGTGAAATGTTTGAAAAATTAGTTCGGGTATATATAGTGAAATGTTTGAAAAATTAGTTAGGGTATATATAGTGAAATGTTTGAAAAATTAGTTCGGGTATATATAGTAAAATGTTTGAAGAATTAGTATACAGTGAAATGTTTGAAAAATTAGTTTGGGTATATATAGTGAAATGTTTGAAAAATTAGTTAGGGTATATATAGTGAAATGTTTGAAAAATTAGTTCGGGTATATATAGTGAAATGTTTGAAAAATTAGTATACAGTGAAATGTTTGAAAAATTAGTATACAGTGAAATGTTTGAAAAATTACTATACAGTGAAATGTTTGAAAAATTAGTTCGGTATATATAGTGAAATGTTTGAAAAATTACTATACAGTGAAATGTTTGAAAAATTAGTTCAGGTATATAGTGAAATGTTTGAAAAATTAGTTTGGGTATATATAGTGAAATGTTTGAAAAATTAGTATAAGTGATATGTTTGAAAAATTAGTATTATATTTAAACATTTCATTATTAGATGTAAAATCATTACTGCAGCACATAGAAACACTTCATTATTATTGGTTAATCCTAAGCAGAAAGATTATTTGAACTGAAATATTTTAAATCTTGCTAGGTACACTGATATAATGATGAATAATCACAAGACCAAGTTAATATTGTTCTGCTCTTACACACACTTCTATCAAAACTATTTTAAGTGAGAAGTTTTGAACTATACGAGATATTGCAAATTTTTGCAATTTACTGATAAGCATAAAGATGAATTAAAAACAATGAATATTTATAAATACAAAATTCAAGCACCTTTTTGAAACTTTCTCATTTTCAAGACCTACAAAAAAAAACCTATAAGTACCCTCAGTAGCACAATGTACAAGTTTTTTCCCTTTTATCATTAGCAGTATTTGTAGTGTGATTTTTTTAAGATAAGATGCCGGTAATTTTTCAATGTTGATGATGTGAAACATGCCTTCATTCTGGTATGGAATGAAAAGAATGTACGGAATTTCAACAGTCTCTAACGTTTCACAAAATAAGCCTAACAAAACACTCGCACATTTCTATTTCCCATTTTAGCTAAACAAAAAATTATTTAGAGTCATTCAAAAGCCAAATTTAAGTATACATAAAATTTTGGAGCATAGCAAACAGCTTTAATAAAGTACAACTTTATATATTTTTTTTTTAATTTTACTACATCAGAACAAATCTGATTTCCACTTTTGCAATTTTTTTTTAGTTTCTGGTATTTAAGTTAGAACCAAAACAAAAAAATTTTACTGCCAAAGAACTCAACTCTGAATAGTGTTTGGCCACGAAGACTTGGATTTTAAGGAGTCGGGCCTTGCACAAAATAATAGGAGCGTCTATATTCAGTCAGGTTCTTCACTTAGCCACTTTACAGTTGCAAGCAAACATCAATAGACCTTCCATAGCCATTCCTTTTGACAGAATTTAGAAAAAATGCATAGAAAACTTAATAGAACTGAGTAACTAGTTCTTGTATTGCCCAACATGTGTGGTCACTACTGTGTTTTGTGTGGAATTTTAGATTGAGGTATAGGTATTACTCCCTCATAACCTGGTAATTAGTGCAAATTTGGAAATGCTCGTAGGCAATTCAGTTTCCAGACATCACAAAGAGTTCAAATTTTTATTCAAAATCTAAAAATAAAAATAAAAAAGAGAATGGCAAAAAGATTTGTTGGGGAATCAACCCACTAAACATATCTCCCTGACTCACAGATTTGGTGTTAGTACCAAGAATTCTTCAAACCAAAACCAGCATGAACTTTTAATTACAGTAAAAGAAAGAACTTGATCACTAATTGAGTCATTATTAAGAACCTCATATGAAATTTATTTGAAGGTAGCATTCACTAAGTAATTATTATTAAAAAATTTAGATCTTAAATATCCCGAATTCACTGAAATGAAAGAAAAATTTTTTGGCTATTGGATGTGGAATTATTTAATAATCTGAAGAAATACAAAATATAGTTTCAATGTAGCACCACTACTCTCTCAGAAAGTCATATATAAGCTTAAATAGTTTCATGTGACAGTGAATTAAGAGTTAGAGTATTTTTATCTGATCAAAGAACAAAAAATCATTTTTACACTCTGTTGTTCTTCTTTTGGCCAACAAGAGTCATTTTTGATGCCATTGTTACTCTTTTTAATAGTTATCATAGCTGGAAATAGTTTCTAATAAAACAAAATCATTGCACAAAGTTATTAGGTTTATCACCAGCAATATAACATATTTATGGAACTGAATTATTAAAGCAAGAGGTACATGTTTGTAAAATTCTCTCCTCTTAAATTTGAAAAAAAAAGAATGATTTTAAAGTTCCTCAAGTTTAATTTACATGATGTAAGCCATTAGCCTAAACATACCTACACACTCTGTAAACCTGTAGAAGACTGTCTTTATGGCACACAAACTACTCTTTACTTGAGTGGAATATAAAGTTCACAAGGAATTACAATTTTGCTTTAGTAATTTATGTTTAACAAATTTAATGGAAACTTAAGATTGTGCCAAAAAATAAATAAATAAGACATTCTTTAGTTCTAGTTTAAAACAGCTTATGTGTTTTTTTCACTATATAAAATTCTCGAAGAAGCTGAACTCTGTTTATAGTGGTTGAATTTTCCCTTAACTGTATATTCATATAGTACAATTCAAAAATAATTAAAACAGGCTGCAGTCCAACACTACATTTTTACTTGTTCTTCACTATGTTCTTATCCAGTTTTAATTATAATGAACAGACCTCACCCCCAATCCTTCTAACTCAGTAAAATCTGTAAATTAATAGTTTGTTTGTTTGAAGTTATGCACAAAGCTACACAATGGGCTATCTGTGCTCTGCCCACCACGGGTATCGAAACCCAGTTTTTAGCGTTGTAAGTCCGCAGACATACCACTGTGCCACTGGGGGGTATAAATTAATAGACTGGACCTCATGTTTCTTTCCACCCCAACATTCATAATTTGTCAACAAAAGAAAAAGAATTAAACTGATTTCTCATATATATATTATAAATTATTTATAGATCATTGAAATAATATTAAGTAGTATAAATAAGTAAAAATAATAATTATTTTAATAAAATAAAAGGTAAAAAAATCTTGTTATATGAATTAGTTCTAAAGGGTTAAGTTTTTGCCTCTATATTGGGTTTAGTTATACTTTAGAAACACCCTAACCGCATTGATATCTCAGTAAGTACTCCCAATAACTTAGGTGTCAACCCCTTTAACTTTGTACCAAAATATTCATACCTTTCTACAGGACAAAGCTGAATGCTGGATTTGACATGGTCACCATCTCTAAAACCTCTTACCCCAAATCTGGGGAAAAATAAAAAAATATAGAAAGCTTTCAACATTTTGGCTTTAATAATAGTATATTTCTGTTTATTACTCATACAACTGAAATATATCACTACACAACTTCCCCAAGACTGAAATTAAATGCAAAAATCTATTATACTAAATATAATAAACTGTTTTGCCAACTGGAAAATTCATTGAGAAATATGGATTTTTTTTAATACATGCAATTTAACTAGAATAACTTATACACTGGCTATAATATAACTGTTATATATGTTTTTGAACAACTACCATTCACCAAACTACTACTACTATTTATTTCCAGCTCCAATAAATGTTAACAAATCATACATATAATTCTCTTCAGTTTTAATGACTATATACTATAAGCATTCCTTGATGAAATAAAAAAGCCCTAAACTTAATTAATGTCTTGTATTAATCTGATATTAACTTAAGGGTATATTTCCACAAATGTTTCAAAGAAGCAATAAACACACTTTATTACAATTATCATCTCTGACACAACTTAAATATAAAAAAAAAAAATGTTTTTTTTTTGTTTTTTCACTGCTTAACTTTAATCCTTCTCATTAAGTAATGAAATTAATTTTTACTACAAAATAAGTAATTTGGCAACCACATCACTGTGTATCAATATCACAGCAAGCTATCTCGCACTGTGTTATTCAAAAGCCCCTTTTTTTTTACACACTAGGAAATGATATTTTGAGAGATGAGTGTCTATATCTATTAAGTAAGCAAGTTTGTGGATAGGATTATTGGATGACGAAAATGTGAACAAAATGTTTTCTAATTTTCAGATTTATAATTACCTATCCATTTCATTGAAGAACTCTTCATGGTCAGTGATGCAGAGGTCAACAAATGGTACGTTTATACATTTCACCTTCAACTTGAAGACAAATCAATGAAGAAAAATTTTAAGTACGATAAAAACTAATGATCAAGCAACTATCATTGTTATAAAAAAACTTAATTTATGTATACATATATTACAGATGAGTATATTTTTTACACATTATTACACTTTCAATAGATAAATTGGTAAGCTTAAAAGATCTAACCACATTTATAAAAACAGCAAGATTTATTTTAACACAAAGTCAAACTTTTGCAATTAAAATATTCCAACAAACAAAATAATAAATACCACTAAGATGTTTACTAAAATATACAAAAAAATGTAAGTTTAGACATAAATGATCCAAGTACTTCTCATATCAGAACAAAAGATTTTGTAACAAAAAGTTAAATGTATATTGCATTATAAAAAGATATACCATATTTTCATACAAATAACCCTTTAGCTATATTTCAAATAAGATTTTAAACTTGTAAACTGCAGGATATACTTTTGTGCAGGAATAAAGATTTTTTTAAGACTAAAATCGGCAATTTTTTATTCCAAATATTTGTTTATGTTGTTCTTGTTCAACACGTGGAGTGATTCATCAACCGGCCAATAAGTATGTCTGTAAGCAATCAAAAGTTTCTAAGTTTGAAGTTTCTAAAATGGGTGCTCTCATGACAATAAAATTAAGAAAATGTTGTTGATATGTTCGTGTGGATTGTAACCCATTGATTTTACCAGGAGGGGCAAAAAATGGGAACATGCCCAATGAGCAGCAAAAAGTTTGAGCACATTGAGGAGGAGCAAATGCCTGTCTTGCATCCAAATGCCAGAAGTTATGTTATCATCCAGAAAAGCACCTCAATCCAAGAAGGAAGCATGGCAAAGGGAAAGATCCAGTTTGGAAGTTGGTAAAGGAATGCTGGATGTAGTATGGGCACAGTCCAGTCACCAGGACAATTCTTTGAGGAGAGGAGAGATTCACAAATAAGGATAATGGAACCTGAGAAAGAATCCCTTGGATCTGCAAGGAGCACTGGAGGAGGTACATGCATACCCCAAAGGAATGAGGGGTTTCAGGGAAGCCGGAGTCCCCAAAGTGCATAGGATGATAATGAAAAGCACAAATCTTGTTGACCAGATACTCTATAGCTTGCAAGTGAAGAGAAGGCTGAGTTCAGTAGAGAAAAAGAGATGAATAAAATGCCCAGAAGTACCGAATATTGAGTAAAGGACTTAGATATTTTGACAAACCTCCCTGATTGAGTAGCCTCTTCTGCAAAATAAGAGAGGTGTGAGAAGAGGATACCACCAAAGAATTGATGAATAAAATCAATTGTCCAAGAAAAGGAATGACAGCTCCAGGCTGTGAAGACAATGAGCAAAGGCTCTCACAATATAAATTAATACAAGTAGTGTCAACAGTATGGTGAAGGGAAGAGCAAGGAATTGGAGGATGCAAATCTGATGGATGAAATGTAGAAAGCACATGCAGGACGGGTCAACAGGGATGAATATTAAGGTGTCCAACACCTCGACCATGGCCAACCAGAGACTGGGTGAAAAGAATAATGTTTCATAACTATTTAGGAGGTTCTAAAGATTACACAAATGAAATTTGAAAATTTTCAGATGAATAAAAGTATTTTAAATCTTAACATGAAAATCACTTTGCACTTGGACTAGTAAATAAAACTACTCAATATATATTCACAGATAAATCTTAATCTAAAAAAAATCAAATTTTTTGTACAAAAGTTTTGCAATGGATACTGAAAGTCTGTCATATTTTGTGAAGATACGTATACATTAATAAAAGTTATAGTATGGAAACTGTAGCGAGTACAAAATTGTTACAAACTCAGTCAAATCGACTGGGCCCATTGTGGAAAGAGTTAAATGTGTGAATTTAAGTGACAGTTATGTCAAGGCAAGTGGCACACAAACTTCATTGGCAGACATATGAAGACGACAGCACTTCTGCATATGGAGATGAGTTATCATCTCAAAAATAATAATTAAAACTAGTTATAATAAATAGAATAACCTGTACTGTTAAGAAAGGGCATAACTAGCGTTAATACTATTGTTGCTGTGAAATAAATCATGTTAACTGCCCAAAAAATCTTATAAAATGGAAGAAATATCCACTACCAGGTCAGTGTCTCCACTCCTAGGGTATGTACAAAAACTTGTGTAACTGTTGGTCATTCCATATCAAACAACTGAGGGAGATTACACTTCTCAAGTATCATCTGCTCTGTTAGTTCTAAAAATTTCATTGTCCATTTTTACAAGGTAAATTAAATTTAATACTAACATGAAATTATCCAGCACAACAGGAAATTAGACTGAAAGGAGATTAGCTAGCTTCTTTAATCAATCCACCATTAACCCTTTCTGCCCGGACATCATTTACTGTGCATGTCACAAAGTTTTAGTAACTTACCTTCAAATGTTTATTAAACTATTTTTTGTTTATGTTATATCAATTAGTATAGCATAAAATCTTAGCTAATAATCCATATTTTAATAATATATAAGTTTTAAGTTCTTAATTATATAAGGCAATATTTAAAAAAATCCTGAATTTC